ACGGCTAAACTTCAGAATACCCGGCCACTGAAAAATCATTCATCAAATCCTGCTACCGCAGTACCGCAGTCGACATACTTTACCTAATATCTGCATTATATTAAACATCGTAGTTAGTATTGAGGTTCGTCTCTCGATACGAACGGATGCCGACGATATTAAACATCACAAAATATACCGCTTGCATATCCTTTACCTAATATCTGCATTATATTAAACATCGTAGTAAGTGTTGAGGTTCGTCTCTCGATACGAACGGATGCCGACGATATTAAACATCACAAAATATACCGCTTGCATATCCTTTACCTAATATCTGCATTATATTAAACATCGTAGTAAGTGTTGAGGTTCGTCTCTCGATACGAACGGATGCCGACGATATTAAACATCACAAAATATTCCGCTTGCATCATACGAGTTGGTGTTCATCTTGTTCTTCCTTGCTTTGTTATCGTCCATCAAGGAGAAAAAGCGCTCGATCTTTCGTCTAAAAGACTCAAATCGAAATCCTAAGTAGTCCTTATTAAAGCACTGAAGGCTTTCTCAATGTTAAGTCTTGCCAATCAGGACTTATCTGTTGTTCAAAGTGAGTAATGTTTCATTTGTGGCTTTCCTGAAATTGTAGTTTCTGGTATTGTAAACCAGAATAGTTTACATGCAAACTGTTTCTCTGGAGTAAGTTTGACTTTTAAGGTTGTTTGAGATAGATGTGAACATTGAAATTACCAGTTCATCAGAGCATACCCATTGAAGCACTTAAAACTTTCTCGATGGCACATCGAAGGTTGGCAGCTGGCAAAATGGCACATCTTGCCAGTCAGTGCTTCTCTGGTGTTCGGAAGTGAGTAATGTTTCATTTGTGGCTTTCCCGAAATTGAACTTTCTAGTATGGGAAACCAGAATAGCGTGCATGCAAACTTTTTCAGTGGAATAAGTTTGACTTTTAAGGTTAATTGAGATTTATAAACCTTGAAATTACCAGTTAATTGGAGCATATACCCATGGAAGCACATTGCATTGCAGTGTCGTGGGGACTTATATACAAGTCAATTCATATTGGAATTAAAAACTTATATAGCTTTGGCAGGGAGTGAGCCCTGCCACTCTTGTGTCTGGTTTATTTCATTTTCAGGGGCAGATTTTTTTGTACCAGAATATCACCTGTTTTGTTTTGTTTTCTATTTGGGGTTGTGTTTCCATGCATTTCCCATAAATATCAATGCACTGATTGTGTACTTTACTGTAAAATTTAATTATTGGGAGTGAATGAATTATGATTGTTATTTGGAGCAGTATTGATGAGTGTGACTTCTATTTTCAAGAGACTGTGTAATTTGGGCACCAGCAAATGGTGGTGTAACCCAGTGTTTTCTTAGAGGCAACACACAGGCTGCCATAAATAAAAAATAAAAAAAACCTACTAGAAGTGCTCCTTGAGCTGTTGCAAAGGGGCGGCTCTTAATGTGACACACATGAATGCAGTGTAGCCCTAATTTTCTAGGTAATTACTGTAAGGGTCCAACTATTTTTTTCTTTGGGGAAGGAGTTGGCAATTCATTTTGGCAAGGATATTTTCCCTGAACCTCTTGGTGCGTCATTTTGGTTGTTGTGTAACCCAATGTTTCCTTATAGACCTGATATATTAAGGGTCTACCCATCAGTGTATTACACCCGAGTGATTTCCTAGAGCTGGCTCATCACTTATAGTGATGTATCTGGTCTACAAACATTAATATCAAATTTCTTTTGATGTTCCATCAAATTTTTCCAACCTTTGAACATAAGAAATCATCGTTTCAAGAGCCAACCATGTAGTAAAGCAATGAGAAAAACTACTATAAGAGTTAATGTCGCTGTATCAAGGAAACCCAGTTGAAAATATACCCATTTCGAGGGAGTAAAACCATCAAACATTTTTGGATTGTAGGTTGTCAAAGCGCTTTAAACTTACAATTGATCTTCTAAAGGATTTGCAGCCACTCAGCTAGCATTATTGGGAAGCAATACAAAGTACCTTTTGGCTAGAATTCATGGCCTAAAATTTCGTTTGCAAAATCTAAAGAGANTTTACTAACTTAGAACAGACTCCCCTAAACAGATGTCAACAACTACCCGCTCCATACAAACGACTCATTCACGACATAAACATCACAAACGACCGAAAAAGAACGACCTAACTTTACCGACAGATCGAAACAGACCAATCACGACCGACTTACGTCACTTGAGTCTTACAGCCAATAACATCACGGCAAAACCAACCGATCATTTTACACCAACTGGAATAAGATCATTCTACTGACAACAATCATTCACTTGACTCTGATGATGACTTCCGCACAGGTTGTCGAAACGTCAGTCACTACCACCGACAACAGTCCTTCTCAGGACTACACCCACCCGGACGATCAAAAAATACCTTCACACGTATTTCAAATTTAAGCGCTGTACTATAAACTTGTGTGTTCGACCCCTGACGAACGCCTTCGATATGACAGAGCTGAATAATGAAATACTACGTCAGCGGGTATGCGGTCAACAACGCGGGCTCAAGTGTCCTACGTCTAAAATTTAGCGAAATTAGCGGAAAATAATAAGGGTTGATCTTTAAAACCGAGGAACTCTGTTTTAAAGATCCTATTTCCAAAGGTTTAAAGGCGAAAATTAATTTAAGGCCTCACGGAAAGGTACCCCACCCATGGTAACCGTAGCCCTATGAAAATCTCAGACCTGCGCAGATTACATTACTTTGTAACACTGCTTGAGAAAAGGAACGCGGGCTCGTGCCGTGAGTTGTTTACATCGAAGTTACAGATTTTTGTGTCGATTTTTCTTAATTAAATCGCCGGCCAACTCGCCGACGATGAGACCTGACGGCACGTAAAAGAGCTCACGGCAGCCGGGTTTCTTGCAAAAATCAGCCACCAGTCAAAAAGAAGCCGAGAAAATTGGTGAATTATTCCGAAGAAATAGAAAAAAGCAGCGTTGCGGTGCAAGTGTGCAGCTTTTTAAGTGAAGAAAGACTCGATCAACTCGAGAGTGTGAAGGTTTGAGGTCCGAAAACGCCAATCTAAAAGGAACAGTCAAAACCCTTAGACGCAGTCGAGGTAAGTGTTTTCCAGGAGGGAATGGAAATGCAAACACTTGCAAATGTCTACGAATACTACTGCAGATTGTCTGAGCGACCAATTACGGTGACTGATTTTCATTCCCATTCTGAAATTTCGCCGGTTGCAACTTGCGCGATCGTAGTTGATACCACTTTTAAATGGTACTAATCATAAACCGATAACAATCTCACCAAACAGAAGCCGAAAAAGAAAAGCCTCTCAAATGTTAAGGTAGAGTAGTCGATATGGCCGCATAGTCAGTAATAAATGTACAGGAAAGTTAATTTCTCGGGCAGCAAATCATAACGACGCGTATCTTTAAGTGTCATACAGTATCGAGAGTTTTAGGAGTGAAGTTTTAAGTTGGGAGTTCTAACAAACATGAACAAACTATCTGCACACGGACCGCCATGGAAACGTAATAGTTTCAGTCATTCAACCTTACAATTGTGATAACCATTTTTTTTGCTAGATATATATTTTCTAGTCGGACATTTTTACTTTGTATTCTTTGTTTCCATACTCTATCATGTGAAATCCGTGAGTTACATTTGACTAATTTCAATTGTCACCTTTTCATAATTTCAGTATTTGTAAAAGTAAGGAAAATCCAATTGAAAGAGGACGTGTTGAGGCTCCAAATTCAACTGAAAGTGTCAAAACAAACTTACGTCTACTGAAAAAAAAAAGAAAAACAAGTCGGAAACAAGCTCAGGGGGACAAGATCTGCTTCCTCAAAACTGAAAAAAAATTGCAGGGGAACAATGAGTTTGTAAAAAAGGGATATTCCCTTGTGAAGACATTTGCACATGGTAACAATGGATACAACCAAACAACTTTGATGTTTATGGCTTGTGTCAGATACATGCAACGTGCACCTTTGTTATCTCATCAGAAGACACCTGTAGCATTACATCTGATTTCAATATTCTGTTTGATTGCAGCCCTCCAACAAACTTTGTTGTCTCCCCAAGTACACTTTCTGACTGGAACGTTCTCTTAGGTGAAGCGGACAAACTAATTTTACGGAAGCGCTTTTCAAACTCCAAGTACGATTTTCATCTCTGGAGTGATGACTCCCACAAGGGAGGAGAAGAGAAGCACATAGAGGGTGTTCACACATGGTGCCCTACAGAGAGCAAGCCTCGAGCATACGTCCTAGCAAACAGCCTTACAGCAAGCAGGTCCGGAAAACACCAGTCTGATGTGGATTATCACGTTGTGAAAACTGAATATGACATCATCTATGTTTCGGGGTTGGTTGGGGACAATGCCTCTACCCAAAAGGGAAAAGTACATGGTCTCTTAGCAAACAACACCAAAACTTTTGGAAAGGAAGTGTTTTTTGTAGGATGCTACCCACATGTACTAAACATCATGCTGAGGAGAACGTGCCAGGCTGGGTTTGGGGCAAAGGGTGACATGAGTAACCCCCATGTTTTACAATTACTATATAAAATATCTTGGCTCCATCATGAGCATCCAAGCCAATACAAAGTTATGTATGTTTCTCTAGGTATTCTTAGTAAAGAGCCACCCCTTCCTCAGACATTCATTGACACAAGGTGGACATATTATCATGAGACTCTCCAGTGGTATCTTAAGTATGGAAAAGCTTGTCTACAGCTTGCTGAGCGTCTCCTTCAAAGATTGCCAAAATCAGATAGCCACCACACTATTTGGCAAGATGTCATTAAGATGAGCTCAAGTCCTATGATTCAAGTTGAAATCAAGTTTTTGTTTGAATTCCTTGACAAGTTCATCATTCCATCTCTGAACACATCCCAAGCTAGTGATGCAGAACTTGGAGGTTATGGCCAGCAACTGTTTTGAAGCACCATGAAACTTTAAGTGAAATGTTGAAGTCTCCATCAGAACATTTTCCTGTAACATCACAACAGGTAAAGATGTCATTGAAAGACCCAGCAGCTATTGACCATTTTCACAAACAAGTGCAGAGGCCAATGTTACAAGAAGCACTTAAAGTAATCAAAGATCATGGAGCAGAGTGGTTAACTTTTCCTAAGTTGTTTGGAATGGGAGCTGATCAGAGATACCAAAGTCATTTCTGGCATTCGGTTTTAAAGCTTCTTGGAATTCCAGTCAGATCTGAAAATCAAAAAGAGAAGTCAGTGAACAATCCCTTTCATGTTCATGGACATAACATTCTCACATTGGTCTCTAAGGACAGATTTAGATTAATTAAATGGGCTACTCTGTGGAAATTAAAGGAACCCCAATTGCTATGTGAGATCAAAGAAATGGCTTTATCACAACAGAGCTCACTCATAAGCCACTCCAAAGCTGTTTGAGTTCTATGCCAAGCACATTTTCAGTCTTCCAGTAAACAATGTTCTTGCAGAAAGACAGTTCAACCTTTCACAACTGTATCTTAATGAAAACATGTCAGAGTCATCAAAACAGGCCTCAATCGCATTTGATGAGAACATATTTGGATTAGTTCCAAGACTCATGCAGCTAGCAGCGCTAAAGGTGTGGAACTATGGGGAGGAGCTAACAATTTATGATCTACCAAGAGAATGCCAGTTGTGTCTACAAAACCTTCAAAATGTATTCCAACCTCCAACTACTTGTCTTTCCAGGTCCCACATGACATATTACGCCATTGCCTACACATAAAGAATAAAGTAGTCATGGGGGTGGCTCAGTAATTTTTAAACATTTTAGATTTGTACATAAGAACTGATTTCACTGACCCACACTGCATGAAGTAAATGTATCTTAACAAGAATACATTTTTTTACACACAGAGACACATCTAATAATGAAGAAATGTTTTAATGCAACATGTTAGAGCTAACCTGATAAAAGGATGTTGTATAACCCATTTTAGTTAAGTAAACAGAGCTCAATATTTTAGTGTATGTAGCATGTTGGCTTTGCAATATTGTAACTGGTTTTACCGGGTGTAAGTGAAGTGCATGGAGCCAAAGCTGAAACATGCATGTATAATCATGTTGTATTGGACCTTGAATTAAATGAATTGTACATTACCTTCAAAATAAACAGTGGCTAAATGAAGCTGTAATATATCTGATTTTAAATTGTTATGCATGACTGTAGCTTAGTAGAATATTAAACAAACGTTGAAATGCTGTCACTTCACTACAGCAGTTTAAGACCATACTAAATGTAATATTTAACTACATATACATTACATCATTACACTGTAAGTTGCACATGTATAATTTAACACATCATTAGCAGTAGGTAACTTTTAATGTGATAAGTACATGACTTGTGTATAGGTGTTCTTGTACATAATAAGTGAATCATTTTGTATAGGGAGGGCAAAGCTAAGTGATGCAGCCAATGTTATGTTACATACAGTTAGTGTACAATGTACAACAGTAATAAATTAGATTTATACACTGGAACTGTTAAAAATGTGCCAAGTTCATTATCCTGCCTTTCCTTAAACCGTGTAAAAGTAGTACAAATCTGACCCGTAATGAATCCTCTCTCCCCTTTAAACGTTTTTCTTCTAACTATTAAAATTAATATCTACACCGATGGAATTTTTTTTCCACATACAGGCAACTTGTCATAGCCTCTATACCTGGACCAACACAAATTATTGAATATGCAGTGTGGTCTAAAAAGAATCTGTGTATTGGTCGATCCTCAACATTCAAAGCGCCGAAAAGAAATAAGCATTGATTTACTAATCGATATCAGTCAAACATCATCAATAGTACCAACGAATACCCGAGAAGTGATTGATAATTAACTGCTCTTGGTTCCTGTTGACGAATATACCGGAGTTCATTCTCGATCTCGGATGGGCGATATTGAATGTAAGCTAATTGACCCATTAGCACCAACACCCCCCAAGACAGGGGCAAGATGACCTGATTTATAATCTTACCTCGAGCATCGTGCGCTTCAGTTGCTTTACTCAGCTCAGTCGATATATTTCATTCCTCCATGACATCTCGAGCGCGCGTCAAAAACATCAAAATAACTTTCATAGGAACAAGAGTGGACTCCAAACCTCAGTTTGCCTTGAAACTACAATGCCAATTCTTAAACTTGTCCGTTTCGAAATTCCAAATAATAAACACCACGTGCCGTGAATGACAAAACAGTACTAAAAAATAGCATTTCTACCACTAAGTTGATGAAAAGAAAAAAAATAAAACGGTAGAATCCTTAACTCCGTTGCAGACTTCGCGGTTTAAGTATTAAACCACCAGAGACTTTGTGTTTTGATAAGATATTCAACGGTAAAGTTTTAAAAGTGTAGAGGGGAGAAGTAAACAGAACAAGAGACGTCATCTACGCATGTCTGAAATTTTCCTGAACTCACGTGCGTATGAGCAGAGAGGCATTTTTATCTGCGCATGCGCGAGAGGAATTAGTTTGTCGCGTTCGGCGCCAATTGTGGAGTTTTCGACGCGTTTCTGCGAGGTTTCACTGGACGATCGACACCTTTTTGTAATATTTTGTGAATATGGATGAAGGAGTATGACAAGTTCGCCAACATTTCTAACTCTGTGGATACTCATGGTGTTTGCTGGCTCTTCGGTTGAGGATATTTTAATGATCAAAGTGCGAACAAAACGCGAAAAAAGCCCGAAAACTTGAAGTTTGAGATTTGAGTTACTGAAGATCAATATGTACACATGAGACAACAAACCTTGAAGGTTAGTCTTAAGATGTTGATGTTTTATTTTTGTGAATCACAAAGTTGTCTGTGGAGACGATCGTGAGATATTTGATCCGAGGAAAGATAGAAATTTAGAGTTTGATATTATTTTACTTCAACTTCGAAGTAAAATTGCGTTAAGTTTGAGGTGGCCCCCAAGCATCAAATCACTTTAAATAACATCGTCTTTTCCTTCTCTTTACAGTCATATAGGACACAAGGCTTTAAAAAATGTTCCAGCTTCAGGATTAAGTTGCTCTAACTACAACCCTCGGCGAATTATTTTTCGGGAGGTTTTGGTGGATTTTTCAAGTCATGACCCAAAACCGTCTTTGGCCTTTTTGCTCTCTAAGTCTGTTGAATATGGTGGGTAGGCATGTGTCTTAACAACGGTTATGGTCTTACCTCAATCAACTACGGTTTTGGCTTATTTTTTTACTGTGTTTTGGCGGTAATTTTTATTATTGCCTTTTCGAGCTTCATGTGCTAACTAGAGGAAAAACTTCGGTAAAACTTATTTATCAATTGGCCCCCAAATCCCTTTCTATTGTCAGTTCATTGTTTATTTATCAAGCTTTCGGTCTAACTAGTCCATTAACCTAAAAAA